AAATATGATTGAGTTTATTGAGTTTACATTGAGTTTAGATCGAAGAAATATTGAATACATATGAGAAAACATTCTGATTATCTTAGCCAATATGGTATTGTGATTGTTTTGTTTTGCCTTTAATCATCATAATAAATCATAAAAAGATTACCTTGACTCTTGTTCATACAAGGAAAAAGAAAAACTTGTATTTATAACACACTGGTTTATACCTGATAAAAGAGGTTCAATATCTTCTTTACTGGTTTCCCCAGTAGTAGACCACGATTAGAAGTCTCTGAATAGACTGTGGCTCTACTGATACATATATTGTGTACTATAATTACGGAATTTTTATGTACTAAAGAAGACACAGTCAATATATCTAAAAGACGTTTCAGTATGAATATAATGACCAAAAATTTGTATGAAAAATGTCTGACAGTTTAAATTGCATGCAAAACATTACAATTTTTTAAATGCAATGCAATTTCATTTCTACAGTGGCAAAGAATCATTCGCCCTACTTTAGTTTAATTGAAAACATATAGGATTGAATAAAGATTACTGTAAATTACTAACAAGAGGCCCATGGGCGACATCGCTCACCTGAGCACTGTGGCTATGAAAAAGTAGAAAATTGGTTAATTATTGAAAAGTTTTAATCCAAAAGAAGTCCCATGACCAATCATGGCTTTGTTATTCTTGATAAGATGATTTTTAAGGAATTTTCCCATATATATATTTCTATGTAAAACTTTGGTCCGCCATTGTGGCCCCGCCCTACCCCAGGGGGTCATGATTTGAACAAACTTGAATCTACACTACCTGAGGATGCTTCAATATAAATATGATCAATTATGGCTTTGCTATTCTTGAGAGAAAATTTTTAAAGAATTTTCCTATATATTTCTTTGTAAAACTTTGGTCGGCCATTGTGGCCCCGCCCTAACCCCAAAGGTCATGATTTGAACAAACTTGAATCTACACTACCTGAGGATGTTTCCCCTTCAGTTTCATCTTTCTTGGCACAGTGGTTCTTGAGAAGAAGATTTTTAAAACATACCACCAAATTTTCATTAATTCCCAATAATCTCCCCTTGAATGAGGGCGTGGCCCTTCATTTGAACAAAGTTGAATCCCCTTCACCCAAGGATGCTTTGTGGCAAGTTGGTTGAAATTGGCCCTGCAGTTCTTGAGAAGAAGTCGAAAATGCAAAAAGTTTACAACGATGACGACAGACAACGGACAAATTGTGATCAGAAAAGCTCACTTGAGCGATTGGCTCAGGTGAGCTAAAAATAAAACATGCCAACAACTAAACAGATGATAAACACTGCAGCAAGGAATGGTGCTCAATTCCAAAAAAACAATTCTTTGAAAACTTTACATAATATACCAAGTCACATTAAGTTTTATTAATCAAAAAGAGAAAAAAAAAATCAATTGAGAACTTGAAAGTAGAATGTTAATCCTGAATATAAAAACTATAGTAAATCTAAATTGCAAATCCTTCGATAATGATCATTATCTTGTTTGCATATTTTAATGAGCAATACATTGTTTCCATTAATGTGCATTCAAATGGTAAGCCAGGTTAAAAAACTTCTTTAAATGAACAATGCCATAAAATCTCTGGTTAAATTTATCATATTGTTAAAATCCAATTCTTTTTCTTAAAAATATGCAGATCTCTTAATCAAACTTGTACATTAAAAATCATACAAATTACCAGTAATGCATAATTTAATTACAAGGTATATTGTTTATGTTAGTCCATTAATTTACAAATATTCTCTATACAGTGCAATAAATAATATGTTCAATTAATCATATTTTAAAATTTACATATTTTTCCTGTTTAAAATATGCAAATGATATTAATCTCTGAATCAAAACTTGTAAATTAAAAATCATATTTTTAAATTAATGCACAATTTAGTTACAATGCATGTTCTTAATCCAACAATTTACACATATTCTCAGTGTATGCATAACAATTGACAGACTCACAAAATTTGCAGTTTTCAAGCAGCTGCACCCTATAAAACACATAAAACATCACAAAAAACATGGAAACAACTAATGGAACGGATATGGCTACCATAAATATCCTGCATATTGCTTTATGTTTCTTTATACTTATATAAGGCAACAGACCCACAGCACACAGCATTCCCAGCAGAAGACCAGTCAATATGGAGAAAATGTTCAGATAAGGTAAAGTCCCTGAGAAAATAAAGATAGCCATCAACAACAGAAGTTTGATGAGCTCTAACCATGGCTTCTTAATGATGGACCAGAAGTGGACAAGTTCTACGAATAGCAGGCCCACGACTCCAAAGAGGGCACCTGTAGCTCCAACATGGGGCTGGTAAGGGTTGAACATAACTGCTGCCTGCGTAATATCAGAGAGACATTTATATACTGAAGAATCATTAGGAGCTTTCAGCCTTTCTTCTATGATCTTACAAATTCTGAACTGCATTTTGACAAACCAAGATTTTGGACTTTTGTTCCTTATGTATTTCAAATATAGCAGACAGATACATTGAATTAACTCTTTAAGAAAAAATATCTTTAAGAGTTTCTGCTGCCATTAGGCATGTATTGAGATACTAATAACAGAGGCTCAAAGGCCCTAAAGGTCACCTGAGTAGAATACAACCCTATTAAGGATCCACAGAACGTAACTAAATGCTCTAAGAGATGCTATGTTGCCCCAAAACAAGAGAAATAAGACAAAGATAAACAAGACACCCAGGGGCCACTCTGCTTGTCTAAGCACTAAGGCTAGGAAAAAAGCAAATATCAGTTTAGCATTAAAAAGCTTAAATGCATAAGAGGTCCCAACCTACCCCTAAAAGGGAGTTGAGGGGATGATTTGAACAAAATTGAATCTTCTCTAAGGGTGCTTACATATTTTTTTTGACTGTGACAAGTTTGATCGTTCATTGAGGGGTGCGTCGATTTACCCAAATGGACCCAAATGGAAACAAATGGAACCCAAATGGACCCAAATGGAATATAAAATATATATGTTATATCGTATTCCCAAGTTTTTACTTATTTAAAATATAGAAAATAATGAAATTAACCATGTTAACAAAAAGAGAATATTTTAATATCATTATTTTCTTCAATTGTATTTTTAAAAATGCGATTTAATTCTATTTGTAATAACTATTGAACATATTTGAATACAAAACTGAAGTATTTGATAGTTTCTATGGTCATATTGGAACGGATTCGGGTGGGTGAGGGTGGGGGGGGGAGGCCATGCCAACCCCCTATCTCACCCCCACCCCCAAATAATTATGCGGGCATAAATATAGAATACTATCAAAACTTCATGTCTCAAAATACAATATTAGAGATTAATAATAAATATAAAACTCCATTTGTAACTGTAAGTTCATTTATTTTCATCATTTTAAATAAGTAATAAAATTCGATAATACATATTTAATATTCCAATTGATTTCCATTTGGGTCCATTTTGGTTTCCATTTGGGTCCATTTGGGTTCCATTTGGGTCCATTTGGGTAAATCGACGGGTCGTCATTGAGGCCCCATCCTACCCCCTGGAGTCATGATTTGAACAAACTTGAACCTGAACTTGAAACTTGAACACCACCTGAGCCCTGAGGATGCTTCCATATTAATATCACCAATCATGGGTTTGCTGTCCTTGAGAAGAAATTCTTTGAAGATTCTTCCTTTTATATTTCTGTTATCACAAGCATGCACTTAGTTCAATTAATAGAGCCCTGCCCAAAAGCAGAACTCCTGAACAACTGTCCATGAATTTTTCATCATAACCATGCTTGCTTTTAATTTGTTGGTTTACATAAATATTAAAATTGATGCATTTTCACAATATGAACAATTAGAGCCTCATCGTAGCACCAGACTCCCTGGCCCAGGGTCCATGAATTTCAACATTTTGTGAAGGACTCTCAGATGAAAGACTGGATGGTCATTACATTCATGCTGATAATGCTTGATGTCCAAGAGTAAAGAAGACTTTACAAAGATAGCAGTATTTTTTATGGTTTTGACTCTGTCCTCAGGCCTTATGGGAGAAATTCCTAATTTTTGTCATCCCCTTTGTGTATGATTATATTGTGTATAAAAAATCAGTTGAAATTGATTTTATTAACAGTTATAGAAAAAGAAGTGGGAATCTTGAAATGTTAAATAAATACTTGACAACAGATGAAAACAGATCACTAGAAAGGTTTATCAAACCACTTGTGGGACAATCAAACATTCTCTCACAAGAAATCCTTTTCCCAATTAATTACAGTACAAGATGACATTTAAACACATTAAAATTCATGAAGTATTAAAAGAAAAGAAATCTTTTCTTAATACATGTAACAGTGCACTTTCTGTATATATCAAGTAAAACATTAACTTTGAATATCACACAGTAACATAAAAAGAAAAGACACCCCTTAACTGACAGAAACTATTTTTTTTAAAAGTCAAACAACTCTGAATATCATACATTAAAATTAAAAAAACAATTGGCTTCTATAACTGACAGAAAAAAAGATATCCAGGAGTAAATATTTTGATGATTTTGGCCCCCAACTTAGGGCCCCAAGGGGCAGTGACCATGAAATTTACAATTGATTCTTTGTTCCCTTTTACTCTGAAATTTATGGCATGCATGGTTAAAATTTGTTCAAAGGTTTCAGAGAAGAAGTTAAAATGTTCAAAAGTTAATGGACAACTGAAAACAAACAATGGACAATGCAAGATATGATTGACAAAATTCAGATAGTAATAGATAACTTGAGAGACTCAGGTAACCTTAATATCACTAAAATCGGGTAGACGGACAGACTGATAAAATAATTACAGCCTTGACTTCAGCTTCAATAGTGCACATAAAGTCAAATTTTGGCATGATAAAAGTGCAGCAAAATTATGTAAGGTATGATTCTCATCTACTGGGTACACCCAAACTTTAAATGATATAAAACAAAATTATAGTAGATAATCCCACTTACCAGCAAGCCCCCACATCCACACACAATAAAAAGTATAATCAAACGCAGCCAACCAATGGTTACTTCAATGTGCTTCAGTATCAGGGTTTGTGCTCCTATTACCAACAGAGCATGGACTATTCCGTGGTGATAGAGAACAGACAGGGGGAGGCGCCACCATTGCTGGGGGGCCTGGGACAGCCAGGGAGTCTCAGGCTTGCTGGGTATAGTGGATATCATAAAACCCATCTTCCCAATGCAAAGATCATTGATGCAGTTCACCTAAATATGAAGATAAAAATGTATCATTTTAATATTATGTAATTTTGTCAAAATGAATGAACTGAATCATAAAGAAAGACAAGTTTCACCAAATTTAGCTATTGAGAGGAAATGTGCATGCAAATAACAAATACAGGTGACTCTCGATGGCTCGAACTCCGATCTCTCGAAGTGAACCTCCGGTCCCGTTTTTTTCCTCTATATAATTAAGCAAATTTACTCCTGATCTCTCGAACTTCTATCTCTCGAAGTTCTCTATCTCTCGAACCAAAATCTTGGTCCCGTTACACATATTTCATTGAATTTTACTCTCTATCTCTCGAAGTTTTGATTGCGCGTTTATACACGCCAATCAAATGTAAAATTGATGAGTCTGGACTTACCTGGAAACAATGAACCCCTTGGGCTGGCATTGAGGTGTTAATTGGGTGTTTCCATAGATGACACTACACCTGTGGGTTTTGATATAATTAATTGGTTATTAATTACAGGGTAGATTATAAACAAATTCACAACTTATTTCGAATTGAAACTGAGACGATAATTTTTAGAAGTTTAATTTATAGATGTTCGTTTCAGTAAGTTCCGATAGACTATGAACTTTTATTATGATTAAATAGAGTCTAAATAATTTCAGCATGGCAAATATTGCACAAGAAAATTCCTTTCTCAAAGACTGAATATCGATTAAGAAAAATCTGGTGAACACTTGTGAAGGTCCCAAACAAGCCGCGGAATAGCCAAACCGACAATTCGGGTTTCATGTAATCATGAAATAAGAACAAATAAATACTGAAACTTTAGAAATTCGTTTTATTTATTCGAAATACAATCATTGTTGTTGATATCACGTAAATTACCTGTCAAATACGATTGAAAACGTGCAATGACTTTTTTACATATACTTCCAGTATCTATAAAAGTAGAACTTCGGTGATCGGAACTGAAAATTCCGGATTTTTTTTACTTTCTATCTCTCGAACCCCTCGATCTCTCGAACTTTTCTTGCGGTCCCTTGAACTTCGAGAGATCGAGAGTCACCTGTATATGTACATATATCATTTGCATGGCTCCAGGATTTCTTTCCAAGGAAGTCTAACCCAGACAGGGGTTAGGGGTAGGGTGGGGTCAAAGGTTACTTTAAGTTGCGTTGCTTTAGTATATACATTTTATGGCTGGGAATTCCAGGGGGTCCAAATGAGTATACCCTGTATAAAATTTTCAAGGTCAATGGTCACATTGCAATTAACCCCATGCCTCTATGACTTATAGTTTTAAAGTGATAAGGTTTACCACTAAGAACAAGGATATTAAAGGGCCATAACTCATATTTAAGTCATATAATAATAATTCGATACAAATTATAAATTTAGCTCCTGTTATATGTTTCAACACAAAGAAAGACAACTCCTAGACTTAAATTCTAAAATCTGGTTTGAAGAATTGAAGTACATGTTATGAATTAAGATTTATTTATCTTATATTTGAAATAAAGGACAATGACTTTGATGGAAAATGGAGCTCCACACATTCGAAATTTTGCAAATAATAATTTAAAATAAAAGTACTATTATTTTCTGTAATGGAGAAAGAATATCACACTTTGTTTTGTTGACAAAATCTATTAAATTAACAAGACATTATGCTCAGTCAATTTTTTTTGTGCAGAGCAAACAGTCCTTGAAATTTGTGTCCTGAGAGATCATTTCATCTCTAAAACTGACCAAAAATAGCTAAAGCTTATTCAATCAAATTCTCATAAAATCAATAATTAATGAAATCTTTCAAAGTCATACTGTAAAACGTGTTTAGTACAAACACAGATATTGCAAATTCACGGATACAGCGAAGTCATCTTGGATCCCCAGCTATATATATAAATCTAATGAATTTCTTATATGGTTATAACGAATTACGGATATAGTGAAGTAATTTTATAGGTCCCAGTGACTTCGTTATAACCGAGTTTTGCTGTACAAGACTATAAAATGCACATTACCATAGCATCTTTGGCTGCACTCTTTGACTCACCTGACTGCAGTGTTCCTTGCCAATCTCCTGATGGAAGGTGCCCTCTAAGAACTCACAATGTTTGTGAGACACCATCCTACATTCTCCTCTGATGTTCACACAGCAGGGTTTTAAGTTGTGGGACACACTGTTCTGTCCTGTGGGCCTTTCACCACAAGGGATGCCATTCAGCCAAATCCCAACACCTTTAACCAAGACAGAAATTTATACCCATGCAGTTTTCTGGGGGTAACTTTCAAGTGTATAAAGAGTACATGGAACAGTGACAACTATAAAATCTCCCTAATTAAATGAATCATTTTTTAAAATTTTGAAAAAGCCATTTTCATAGGAAAAAAATTGTTCCAAAGATTATCATCTAGAATGTGAAGCTACTCCTTACAGAGTGAATGGATTACCAATGCCAAGATAAACAATTTTGTTTCCAATATAGCACTGCCCTCAGACCTCACCTTAACCCTTACAGTGTCCCATTTAGTAGAGCATTTGCACTTTGATCGAAGCTTGTGGGTTCAAACCCTGACTGTGAATGGCCTTTAAAAGTCAATGAAAATAGGTAGCAACTGTTCCTTGCAATCAGCTAGCACTTGGCAGTTGCAGGTCCATTACAAGAGACCTTAAAATTGTGGCCTTGTAACACAGCAGACATTGGCAAAATTACGTTATCTCACTGTTCCATAGCCCTGAGTACCGAGTAAAGGTCTCAATTTGAAGTCCTTTACCAATATAATTATGTTGAGGTACACCGGTGTCTAAAAATCAATCAGATCTAACCTCCGGTTTCCTGGTCACACTCTTTTTCTGTCAGAGTCCCTGCTGTATTTCTACTGGCCACTTCACAGCAGCCCAGAACCATGGAGGAGGTGTAGTTCTTTTTGGAGGTCTGTAACATTAACTTGTAGTCCTCTCTCATACAGGAAGAATACAAAGCTCCCACACCTACAAACAAACAAAGTGGGTAATGTTAACTTGTCAAATTTTGTGCATTGATATCACAAGTTTTCTTTTTGAATTATGGTAATGTTTTCATATATTGACTTTAATAAGATATATTTTATTAATTATTTATTATTATACATATATATATTACATGTATATGTTAATTATTAATTTTTAAATTTATTTCTTACTGATCAATAGACAAAATGTTATGACTTTGGTAAGTTCGTCTTTAGATTTCTACTCAATTTGTATTGATTAAATTTTGATACACAGATGAGTTTTCATGGCTATCTCAATCTCAGACATCTCAAAAATCATGGATATACATGTTGAATTGATTTGGCAGTTCCAACCACTTTTCTAAATGTTTTTCATAAACTCACAAAACCTCCAATATCTCAAAGTTAAATCTTGGTCCCATTGAGTTACAGATAACAAGTTTTGGCTGCACTTGACATACTTATCCAGAACTTTTCATTAGGTCCTATCCATACATTGGGCTTGACCCACTTATGAATGGTCTCTGATCCAAGGAATGTTGGAACTCCTTCTGCGAGGTCTATTGATGGTTCAAAACCAACTTTTGTGATTCCACCAAAGTAACACAGCACACTGAAGGCAACAACTTGTATCTAGTAGCAAAACAAATATTTACAAAAAGCATCTCTCTAAATGATATTATGAAATCCCCTTGGCCCAAGAGATGATTTTCATAGGAAAGTCCTCAAAACATGTTTTTAACACCAGATTCAACATTGAAGCAGATTTAAATAAAATGAGGAAACGGATCCATGCAAAAATAAATTTGCATGTAAATAAATGCCAATTATTATACTCTAGCTAAGTTAGGAAGGGTTAAATTTTATTTTACAAAATTTATATATGGTACACATTTATTTATTCAAAGAAAATGACATACTTTAAAATACCCATTTTCAAAATTTGCTACAGTACTGTATATGAAGGATCGGCAATCGTTGGAAAAGTAATGAAAGCAAAACTTAACCAGAAGTCTCTGTCGAGACTGAAGCTCTACTGGTTTGTACTTAAAGCAAAGGAAGAGAAAAGTTCTTAAGCAGTTGGGAATTGAAACTTTACCAGAACAATAAAAAAAAGAATAATGATCCTTGATTAAGTTTCTTTATGTTCTTAGTATAGTCTACTTGCAGGCCACATTATATTATATTCAGACTAAAACTGTATTTGGAGTAGCATTTTGAGAGTATTTAACAGAAATTTCTATTTTTAGTAATCAAAGCAATAATGTTCATCGAGGTCAAAAACTGATACATGTACATAGAATTTTGTATCTTAGTGTAGTCTACTTGTGTGCCAAGTTATATTGAAATCAGACCAAAACTGTAAGAGGAGTAGCATTTTGAAAGAATTTCACAGAAATTTCTATTTTTAGTAACCACAGCAACACCGTTAATCGAAATCAAAAACTGATACACAGAATTATGTATCTTAGTGTAGTCTACTTGTGTGCCAAGTTATATTGAAATCAGACCAAAACTGTAAGAGGAGTAGCATTCTGAAAGAATTTCACAGAAATTTCTATTTTTAGTAACCACAGCAACACCGTTCATCGAAATCAAAAACTGATACACAGAATTTTGTATCTTAGTGTAGTCTACTTGTGTGCCAAGTTATTTTGAAATCAGACCAAAACTGTAAGAGGAGTAGCATTCTGAAAGAATTTCACAGAAATTTCTATTTTTAGTAACCAGGGCAACACCGTTATCGAAATCAAAAACTGATACACAGAATTTTGTATCTTAGTGTAGTCTACTTGTGTGCCAAGTTATATTGAAATCAGACTAAAACTGTAAGAGGAGAAGCGTTTTGAAAGAATTTCACAGAAAATTCTATTTTTAGTAACCAGGGCAACACTGTTCATTGAAATCAAAAACTGATATACAGAATTATGTATCTTAGTGTAGTCTACTTGTGTGCCAAGTTATATTGAAATCAGACAAAAACTGTAGGATGAGTAGCATTTTGAAAGAATTTCACATAAAATTCTATTTTTAGTAACCACGGTAACACCGTACATCGAAATCAAAAACCGATATACAGAATTATGTATCTTTGTGTAGTCTACTTTTGTGCCAAGTTACATTGAAATCAGACCAAAACTGTAGGAGGAGTAGCATTTTGAAAAATTGTTTACAGACAGACAGACAGACAGACGGACAGACAGACAGACGGACAGCTAGACGGACGGACGGACGGACGCATTACTATCGCATAAGCTCTTCTGGTCTCTGACCAGTAGAGCTAAAAATAGCAACATACTATCACTATGAGGTTGGTAAAAATAGGTCTGTGAGAGTGAAGCTTGGACAACTTATATCTGATGTCTGTATCGCTACCCAGACCAACATTGCTGCTGGACTTAATGCTGCGTCGTAACTCCTTCCAGTCCTCCGCTGCTTTACCAGAGGGATTCTGGTAATATTCTGTAATTTATTACAGGAGAGTGCACTTTATTTTATAATGTCAAAGATCAATATTGACCATGTTTATCATATACAGATGAAATTTGGTATCTTGAACACAGCTGATATCTCAAATATCATGGATATATCAAAGTAATTTGCAAGTCCAAACCCCTTATTCATTAAGTATTTTACCTTTAATATTTCGAATTCTCATACATTTTGAAGATTTGTCTCCTTATCAAGTTTGAGATACCAAAGTTCAGCTGTATATAATTGTAAGCACAGTACTTTTCCTTATTAATTAAATAGTCAAATGAAGCTAAACTTAAGAACTTAGTCTTATTTTATGATCTACGACACAAAAATACCCCCATCTATTTTTAAACAATTGTTTTAAAAAAAGCTAACCTGAAAGCATGTTTTTTTTTTGCTATACAACATACCTCTAGCTTTGTCAATGATCTCATCAATCTTTGATATTCTCCATGCCATTTTGTCCATTGCAAGTTCTTTTGATTCTTCCAATTTCTTTATTTTATTCTTCCTTTCAATCTGATAAAAGAATGAAATACTGAAGACTTTTTTTTCTGCCCAAAGTATTGTCATCCAATCGATCATTACAGTCTGATTTTATGAAATGTTTAATGTCTCACAGACTAGAAGCATGATGTCATGATGTCTTAGTGTTTTTCTGCCCAAAGTATTGTCATCCAATCAAACATTACATTCTCATTTTATGAAATGTTTAATGTCTCACAGACTAGAAGCATGATGTCATGATGTCTTAGTGTTTTTCTGCCCAAAGTATTGTCATCCAATCAAACATTACATTCTCATTTTATGAAATGTTTAATGTCTCACAGACTAGAAGCATGATGTCATGATGTCTTAGTGTTTTTCTGCCCAAAGTATTGTCATCTAATCAAACATTACAGTCTCATTTTATGAAATGTTTAATGTCTCACAGACTATAAGCATGATGTCATGATGTCTTAGTGTTTTTCTGCCCAAAGTAATATCATCCAATCGATCATTACAGTCTCATTTTATGAAATGTTTAATGTCTCACAGACTATAAGCATGATGTCATAATGTCTTAGTGTTTTTCTGCCCAAAGTATTGTCATCCAATCAAACATTACAGTCTCATTTTATGAAATGTTTAATGTCTCACAGACTATAAGCATGATGTCATGATGTCTTAGTGTTTTTCTGCCCAAAGTATTGTCATCCAATCGATCATTACAGTCTCATTTTATGAAATGTTTAATGTCTCACAGACTAGAAGCATGATGTCATGATGTCTTAGTGTTTTTCTGCCCAAAGTATTGTCATCCAATCGATCATTACAGTCTCATTTTATGAAATGTTTAATGTCTCACAGACTTTAAGTATGATGTCATGATGTCTTAGTAATCAGACCTGTTCTGCTATTGATAAAATGGATCTCAAATTTTTCATGGCAAAATCACATCAGATACAGTATATTAGGATAAATGAATTCTTAGGAGACCAACCTGTACATATAATGAATAATTCTTGTAAGCTTCTTTCCCATAGACAAAGTCTTCTGCAGTCAGAGACTGGGTTACCTACAAAATTATAAAATTTACATTTATTTAACATCACCAGTATAAATACTAAATAAAAATGATAATTAAATTATCATAATAATCTTACCTGTATGGGTTTCGTAGCTTCATCTTCTGTCATGGAAGTTTCTTCTTCATCTCTAGGCAAATCTACAGTGTCTTGCAGTTTGGTGCCAGCTAGAGCTTCTATCTCCTTCAGATCATCTGGATTAATCCCACTAATACCACTATTGTTGCCCCCTTCTTCAATCACACTAACAGTACTAAATCGCACACTTTTACTTCCGTCTGGAACAACTTTATTTCCTTTGAAGTAACCCTTCAATGGTTTACTTATTGTCTGTCGGCTTGAAGGTGCTTCTTCATTGCTTTCATCTTCATCTTTTCCTTCTCCTCTTTCTTCTTCCATTTCATTTTCTATCAACGATTCAACAGAAGTGGAAGGTGCTTCTTTCCGATTCGTTCCTCCATTAACAGAATTTCCACTTTCCTGGATGTCTTCGACTTTCTCAATGTATTCTTGCCCTGACTGTTCAGATAAGCCTCCAATCTGAGGCTGAAGAGCTTCGTCATTTTCCTGTGTAACATTACTGCCCTGGTCTAGAACTGTTGCTGGCTGACTAACCTCACTCTGTATCTCATTCTCTGAGCTTCCTGTAACCTCCAGTCCCTCTAAGCTCACTTTATCCTCTGCAGACTCTGACTCCTGGGATGATACTTGTATATCATTATCTTGGTTTACTGTTGATGTACCTTGAACATTATTTGTCAGATCAGAAGATGGATTTGAAGGCACTCCTGGTTGACTGTTTGTGTACTCCAGAGATGCATCTTTGATACTTTTCGCAGACTGGTTCCAATCAAATCTGGTTAAAACTTGTCTCCTACAGTCAAATGTCTGAGTTTACAATAAATAAATAATAAATAAAACAAAATTCAAATTAAAGTATAAAAATACTTTTGGAACATGAATTAGGTATACACAGTCATCTACATACCAGTAAATCATTTTTTTTTTACATTTGATACCTAATTGAAACGGGGGCCAATGGACCTTAATGGTTATCTGAATCATCCTAGACTAATTTCAAACTGATGAATTATGATTTAAAATAATGCCAATAATAGTTAGTGTAAAATGTAAGACTTGTCAACAAAGAGATATAATTTTGACGCTTGTTTTTTAGTTATCAGAATCTTACTCGGCGATTTATCCATATCATCTTTAGTACAGTTCTGATACATACACTTATGTTTACCTCAAGTGGTTTTCCTCTGGTATTAATTGAATCATCCAGTCTCCACCTTGCTCCAGATCAGTAGAAGAGCTTTCTGCCTCTTGCAACATGTGCACTTTCTCTGACAGGACTTCAGATACTGTGGTCCAGACCTCTTGAACAAGGCCTTTAGTGGCATCATCAGTGATTTCATTATAATTCCACAAACCAAATGTTTTATTCTGAAATGATTCAGGTGATTTAATTAATTTAGACTTTATATACATGATATAAAAAGAATAATTTATACTTAAACTATAATTAGATAGATGATGATTTCTGTCATGGAGACTAAACAACATGTATATTATGCTCATTTTTTTTATCCCCCCTCCCCTCTTTTTTTAACAGAATTCTATAATCATGATAAAAATTTAATTCATCGAAACCAAATCTTAATTTTAACTGTGACAAGTTTTTGATCTAAAATAAATACTTTGTGTAAAATTTCAGTGAAAGTTACTGAGTAACGGCTGTGCTGTTTCACGTAAAGGGAGTCGAGGACTGTCGCCCACTTAGCACCATAGAACCTGGGTATAATTAAGTCCCTGTTCTTTGAGCCTCATATGGCTTGGAGAAAATTTTTTTTTAATAAATAATCAACTCATTTAAACAATGCCAATGTTGAATAGGCCATCCTTGCTCTATCAATTGCATTCTTAATCAAATATGTGTACATGTAATTAACAATGCAAGTATATGTACGGAAACATAAAACATTATGAATGACGAATAATTGATAACCTGGATTCTGTGTACTATCTCCTGCTCCCACATTTCATCTTCAGAAGAATAGTCATGGATTCCAAAGAATCGCAGAATGTTCCTAGCAGTGGACATCAGACAAAGTTGTAATTGACTCGGTGTTGAGAATAGCCTTATTTCTTCCTCCATTTCTTACTATTTTACTTCAATATGTATGTAGGTCACTCAGTTCTGATTATTCCTGCAATATACATTTAATTCAGTATCAATCTGCTGGGAAGCATGGGGGGAAAAGACACACAAAACCTAAATTGGAAATAGGTGGGAGGGGTATGGATCAGGCATAAACCTGAAGACACAAACACTTTTGCTTTATAATTGCATGGAGGAGAGTCAGCAGTTTACTAATATAACAATTTAAACAATTACAAGTTAGGTCATTTTTAAAAATTTCTTTCAACTTGGATACACACGAAAGTCCATTGTGGACATTTATCGGCAAGGGCTATGTACATACTTTGGTTGCCTTCTCCCAACCGACTGGCTAAAAATGACCCAACTAAAAAATTTTAACCTTCGGAAACATTTTTTAATGAATTCCGGAAACAAAGTAAAGAGAATTCAGCATTTGATTATATTGAAATTTTCTGAAAAAACTACAAAGAATCAAACCAATTTTTTCACCCTGGGTCAGGAGTAGTCAGGAGAAGCAGAGGGCGGGTAAACAAACACTGCTTTGAAGTCAGCCTAAGCTCCACAAACTACCCTCAAAAAGCTCACTGGCTATATTGTTTTATTTTACGCAGAAAGGCTTGTCAAGAATAATTTGTCTTCTTCTCATTTTACCGCCACTATACTATATAAACACATAGTATTACATGAAAGGGGGGGGGGTAAATAAAAAAGAACACAGATTAACCACAACAACCCCCTGTGACTTACGTTGTTTGTTGATAACCAACAAGCATGATGAGATGATTACAAAGCACAGAGACTTGTTTCGTATACAAGACACTCCTATTAAACAATAATGTACATGGTACAGGGAAAGCAAGTTTCACAATAAAAGTTTACTGATAAAATTGCGAACTCGTGTGCCTTTTCACTGCCTTTCCACAAGCCCCAACATTTTGTGTCCAAAATATGCGTAAGATTTAAGTTAACTAAGGAAGAAAAACTCTTTCCCTTCTATTCTTCGAGTATTCTTCGAGTAAGGAACATCTACTAGGAGATTAAAATACTTGTAAATGAGATTATTCATACTTTTATTTGGCTTGATAATATCAATACCTTGACACCACAATACCACATCATCTCATGCCATTTTCACCGCTCTGTTGTCTTCTGCTGCATTTGGAATTTCTGTATTCTGAACCCGATCTTTTTTGTGGGAAAAGGGGGAGGGCACAGGCGCTTGACGTTTTTTAACCTTTCTTTACATAAATAAAAATTAATATAGTATAGGGGATATATTTATTTGTGTAAAGAAAGGTTAAAAACGTCAAGCACCTGTGGGCAGGGGAGTAAAAAAGAGTATGGCCAGAGCTAGAAGTTTGATTCATGATACTATGTAATGAAGTATTTTTTATTAAAATTAAAAAGAAATTAAATGAAAATTAGCATCATCAAACTTCACACAAATGCAAGTTCAAGATATTTATTAAGTGTAGATTTACATAATGTTTTACTATTTACGTTCAAATTAATTTTTTCACCGATTTGGAACTTAAATATCCCAATTAATGTTTCTATAGTTAGAGTGACTCAGTTTAAAATGTGTCTGATATTTATTGCATAGTCGGAAAAAAAATCGGTTATTGTTTTAAATCTCGGATATCTATGAAACGTGATTGATTTAAGTTGTGTTATTTACAGGACCGTCCTATCTTTTTATAAAGTAACAAAACAAATAGAAAGATTTTTAAAAATTTTTAGTTAGTCTTAACTTATCAAAAATAAGCTATCTATGACTTTTCATTGAATGAAAACGGAACACAATTCTTAAAATATGTTACACATTCAAATTATTCCGCCGAATGCACTTCTTATATTGGCGCTTTTTTTTTAAGTGAGATTTATTGACATCATTTGGTAAGTTCATTTATAAAGGGTATGTAAAATTAAGGAAAATAATTATGTATACTTTACAAGCATGAGTTTCAATCAGGCTCCAGGCCTAGCTAAAAATCGATCGTTTGCATTGTACATTTCATAATTTAATGCGCAGCACACGTCTTCTTAACACATGATATATGTGATTTTCATTAGAAAACCATGGAATATTTGGATTAAAACATGTTCTTTTTGGATAAATTCACTCATGCATTATTCCGCCAGAATGGCGTTGTCATGACGTCATAGTAACACCTTTGTAAACAAAACGTTGAACACGGATTTTTACATAATATACACCCAATACCGTGCATATGCAAATGGATTTTTACTCCCCATTTTGAAAGGAATTGTTTGGATTAATTTGTTTTTTTTCCAAAAAGGTAACTAGCTTATTGTAATTCCGACATCAAATTCAAGCCTACCCGTGTTTTTCTATGGAAGAGCAACATGTTATTTATGAAAACAATTTTGAATAAAACGTTTAAAATTTTGCTAAATATTGTTTTATAAGTTGTATTTGATAAATATATGCCATAGAACTAATAGTAATTTGTAAGACTTATACTGGAAACAATATCAAATATGGCAAGTAGGTTTCTTTGAGCTACTCGGGCAGTTGTTTTATGAAATTTCATTGACAAAAGCATGATGTTTGCTTCATCCACAGATATTTTTAAAGAAATAATTAATTAACGATTCCAATTAATGCAATCATATGTGGTGAATTTGTATAAACTTAACATTATTGACAAAACATTGCAGATCATGAAGCACAAAACCGAACCCCATCTTGTTTTTTGACGTGAGTACAACGTTTTGACGCTCTTCGCTCATTGGATAACTCAACTTTTGAGAACCAATCAGTACGAGCAAATTTGAGCCAATCGGCAGCATGTATATTCCCGAAAAAGCATATAAGCACGAGATCTCTAGGATTCAGCATCAGTTGCATTTAACGCATTGAGAAGGAAAGACGCAAAATGAGAACCTCCAAGATCATCAGATCGTCCGCCATTCTTGGCACATTTTTGTCAACAACAGGCCGTGCCCTGCATCTAGACATGTTGAAGTAAGTCAATGAAAATATAATATTATAAAATATTTGATAAATAACGTCAAATTATTTGTTGCTTTACAAAAGAGCGTCCTTAGCAACGCATATATATTGTTTTGTTTACAGGCTGGGATGTGATGTGTGGCAATTTAGTAAGGAGATAGGTGCCACATTAGGGGTAAGTTGCTTACTGGAATTTAATGAGTTTTTTTTTATGTATTCAGTGTTCTTTCCTTTTATTGTGTTTGTGTTCTATCATTCAGTCTCTATAAACTTTCTAACTCTCCCTTTCTTAACTTTCTCTTAGCGTGAGCTGCTGTCGCTCGGTGAGAGAGTCTACAGCTTTACCACAGCCACTTCTGCTGCTGCTCTGTCTTTCTTCTCGGCAACAGATCTGCTCTTCTTTCTGGCCTTTCTGCTCTTTGTTGTTTCGTTTATTGGTTGTGTTCAGTTTGTTCGTCAGTTCAACACTACAATGCAAGACCTCAGAAGAAAAATGGCAGATCTTGCTGAAGGTTAATTTTGTTGAATTTTCTTTGTACTTTTTGTACAATTTCCATTTTACGGTGGCATCTCATATTTTATCCGAATATATGGTTAACTTTTCTTTGATTACATTTTCAGAGAACGTACAGATGAGGCTTATTTTAACAGCTGTTATGAACGATGCCGAGGAAGCCGAGAAACTATTAGGTAAGTATGACCCCAGCCCCCAAGAAATTCATATACTGGTACATAAAAAATCTTACACTTATCATTAGCTCATAACAAAGGATTGAATTTTGCTTTACGTTTTATTATTATCACTTGTCTATTTCATTGTAGCTTTGAAATTGAGCGCCCTATCCCAGGAACAGGATAACTTGAGCAAGTGGCTGAATTTCCACACCGACATGTTCAGCATCAGGTACCATTAATAATTATTTTACCCCAATTTATTTTTGTTTTAGTTGCAAATGCTTTAAAATAAAGACAAAATTATTTACAGTTTATAATTTGATTTCAGACTGAACAACATGGAGATCCAAACTCACAAAGCACCACAGAGCCGTAGATACAGAAGATAAAGAATTAAGCCCTAGTGATCTTGAACTCTGCATCATCATTTTATTTTTTATTATATTGAGCAGTTTTAAGATAATTATGTTACAATAAAGTGTTGTTACCTGAATTTTTTGTTTCGTTAGAATTTTTCCTAACAATCACGAACATCGGAGCTAGAGAGTAACTGAACAATTGCAAATTATATATGCATTTCAAGTAATCAGTTACAAATTCGTGCTTTTTTCTTAAAATTCAGAAGCAGAAAAAAACATCAGATGCTGTACAATTACTGCAATGTTTAAGATGAAAAGTTGTAGATTAATAAACGACTGGTATATGCGCTAATTCATTCAAAGAAACCGAAAAATTAAGTTTTAATAGCAAATTCAAAGTCAGTGTTACAAAAAGTAAAGCTTTATATATCTCTCAATTCAATTTCAAAGCGCATGCAAATAAGTGCAAAGTTTGATACATTGTACTTGAATTCAAAGGTAAAAATTTTATATTACCCAAGAAAAGACCTTTTCACAATAAATGCACATTTGAAGGATGAAAGTCCTATAGCACCATCCGTTCAAAAGTTATGGCCAAGGTTAAAGTTGGGCAAAATTTTTCAAAAACGAATTTAACGCCAAGATCACGAAGATGTCAAATATGTTGGTACCAACCACTAAGGAATGCAGAGACATGTGAAATATGAAAGCTATAGTTCCAATCAATCAAAAGTTAATGACAAGGTTAAAGTTTCCGCTGTCAGATAGACAACTACGACAGACAGACGGACAGACAGACAGGATCTTATATAAAAAAAAAAAGATGCATACAGATTTCTCAAAAATAGAGAAAAAAGATTTTTCAATAATTCTTTCCCAATATAACTTGGTAAAATAAGGTGTATCGGGATATAATCTTTAGGTAAACTTAAGTTAAAGACAAGAGGCCCATGAGCCACATCGCTCACCTGAAAAGCCTTGACCATGCTATTCTTAACCAGATTCCCCCCCTTGTAATACCTACTGTGACCCCATCATACCCCACAGGAAATAATTTGAACAATTAAAATCTACACTACCCCCAGGATGCTTCCACATAAGTTTCAGCTTTTCTGGCCCAGTGGTTCTTGAGAAGATTTTTAAAGATTTTTCCTATATACTTCTATGTAAAACTTTAATTCCCCATTGTGGCCCCGCCCAACTCCCCGGGGTCATGATTTGAACAATTTAGAATCTACACTACCCCAAGATGCTTTCACAAAAGTTTCAGCTTTCCTGGTCCAGTGGTTCTTGAGAAGAAGATTTTTAAAGATTTTTCCTATATATTTCTATGTAAAACATTGATTCCCTATTGTGGCCCTGCCCAACCCCCGGGGGTCCTGATTTGAACAATTTAGAATCTACATTACCCTAGGATGCTTCCACATAAGTTTCAGCTTTTCTAGCCCAGGGGTTCTTCATCAGAAGATTTTTTTTATGACCCCACCCGATTTTTGTCTTTTCTTGATTATCTCCCCTTGTGAGAGGACTTGGCCCTTTATTTCAACAATTTAAATTTTTCTTCACCCAAGAATGCTTTGTACCAAGTTTGGTTAAAATTGGCCCAGTGGTTCTTGAGAAGAAGTCGAAAATGTGAAAAGTTTACAGACGGACGGACAGACAGCTGGACGGACGGACGGATGACGGACAAAATGTGATCAGAAAAGCCCACTTGAGCCTTCGGCTCAGGTGAGCTAAAAACGTATTTTAAACTGCCATTTTCAATGAAATTGAAGAAAGTCGGGACTGTTATAAATATCGGATTCAATTCAGAAAAAGGGAAATGTATTAATATTGCCTACAGTCTCTCAGAAAACGGAAGTTCGTATCTTCTTGAATTGAATTTCATGTCTACAAAAGTCTATTATAAACTTTATTGACGTATAGGAATTTCTTGTATAAAGCCAGTAATGTACATATAGGATCTTTTTGTTTACTTGAGTCATGGCGATTTATAAATTTCAGGTCATTCAAATCTTTAATATATGTAGTTAAAATTGGGGGATTATTTTTGACATGGAATTTTAAACGCGGTTTGTTAATTTTTACTACCCATGCAGATCAACTCGTGTGGCACATATCACGTAATATCCAAATCCAGATTAAGTTATCAACAGAATTTAGTCATTGAATACTACATGGAATAATTGTACCGTGACATAATTTCGTCTGATTGAAAAATTCTGTTCGACCCAGGACATAGGGGGCTAATTGTGATTGTAAAGTGTTATAATTAATTACATGTAATTAAGACCGACAACAAAGTGAATGAATCTTAACGGACCAACAATTATAGAACAGCATGTATGGAACTTGCCCAAACATTGGTACGTGTTTGTAGCCCCCTGCTGTAGAATTATACAGTATATATATGGAAATGACAAAATCGGTCACTTGCAGGCATTTAAAATTGCTGAATAAGGTATGTAGCAAATTATTAATATACAGATTAATATTATTAATAATATCTCATTGAAAATTGCTATTTTAATGATATCACTGATTATAAAATAATTTAAAAAAAAAATACCAATGTAGTAATTTTTTTTTATTTTTTACCTCTTTTTAAAAATATATATAAATTTTAAATATAAATTGATATATATATATATATATATATATATATATATATATATATATATATATATATATATATATATATATATATATATATATATATATATATATATATTTTATTATTGAAATTTTCTATTTATTCTTTTTAAAAGTAAAACTATCGGAGAACTATGCCTGCCGACATCAATGTATCAGCAACATGTACCCGATCAGATTCCAACAACCGAACACTGCGAGTGACTATTAACATTAGAGATTCAATTTGTGTAAAGGATTATTCCAGTTTTACCATTTTTGAGGCAGCAGCAGAGAATTCGTGAACTATGTTGTAAATTAGTGAAGTCTTAAATGACAAGATTAACTGTTTCCAGTTGTCCATATGTGTGTGACATGTCGTCAAGAGCCATCTACAGTGACAGTAATCAATCAATCAATCAATCAATCATTGGCATTATCTGATTATATATGTGTTAACCAGTGACAATTATCCGATAAAATGTGTTGACCGTTGACACACATTCAGTGCATCTCTTCGTCTGTGAAAGTGTTAACCAGAGATTAGCATCATTCAAACCGTAGACCAAAGGCAATGCTCGGCTCCGCTCTACATATCTCGTTAATAGTTAATTTTTTTCATGTTGTGGGTTCTTTTCTCTTACTTTGTACATTTTATTTTTTACTTCGTTGCATTTGGCCCCATGCTAAAGGCTTCTTTATAATTCTCCTTTATTTGTATTTGTATTTCTTTAGAATAATTTATTTTTCAAAACAACCACCACTGTGGCAACGCACTTTGAAAAAATTACGCACTTTGAAAAAATTTTTCAAAGTGCGTTGTAACACACCACCAAGTAAAGGATCAGAATACAACAACATAGAAAAACGCAAAAGAAGACAACAAAAGAAACACAAAACCAAAAAGAAGAAATATTGTTAACATCCATCCCCTCGAAACAAAGGGAGGGGAGGGGCAAAGAACAATCTTTTTTTCAGTGTGTTTTACTTCAGAAGTCAGTTGGGTTTTTAAAATTGTTATTATTTGAAACAATGTTTTTTGCATAATGAAATATATATTTTTTGGAAATAACAAATTCATTTTGCAGAAAAATTCTACCCTTTTTACCAGTAGTTTAAAATGATTAAATAATGCAAAGAAGGAAATCAATTCTAAATTTTGATTAGGTATATGTCACGAATATGATAAAAAAAATATTTTGTTGAAAAACAAAGTTTCTTCTAGATATATAATTATGAATTTATTTTATCAACCCAAATGTTCGTCCATCAAAGCAAAAGTTTATCGTAATTTAGATTTTTTTTATCAAATCAAAATAATACAATCAAAGCAAAAGATGCGTTACTTTTGTTCCTAAAGACACGTTCTCTATTTGCTAATCAGTGTATCTGATCACTTAGTGAAGTCTGATTAATTTTTTTATCAAAGCAAATCTGTGATATATTTGTTACGCTCATCAAAGCAAATCTAAGATATATTTGTTACGCTCATCAAAGCAAATCTAAGATATATTTGTTAATTTGCTCATCAAAGCAAATCTGTTTTATATCATATGTTAATTTTCTAATCCAAGGAAACCTGTCCTATTTTTGTCCTTTAGAAAAGGTTGTGCTAATGTTTGTTTTTTGTTCATCAAAGCAAATCTGTGATATATTTGTTAATTTGCTCATCAAAGCAAATCTGTGATATATTTGTTAATTTTAATTCATGTGATATATTTCTAATTTGCTCATCAAAGCAAATCCGTCCAATTTTTGTTCTTGTGCTAAATATTTGTTCCGTTATTCATCAAAGCTAATCTGTGATATTTTTGTAAAGTTTGCTTTTGAAAGCAAATCTGTGATAAATTTGTTAATTTGCTCATTAAAGCAAATCCGTCCTATTTTTGTTCTTTAGAAGGTTGTGCTATATTTGTTCCTTTGTTCATCAAAGCTAATCTGTGATATATTTGTTAATTTGCACATCAAAGCAAATCTGTGATATTTTTGTTAATTTTGCTTATCAAAGCAAATCTGTTATATTTTTGTTAAGTTTGCTTTTCAAAGCAAATCTGTGATACATTTATTGAATTGCTCATCAAGGCAAATCTGTGATATTTTTCCTTTCGTTCATCATAACACATTTCTTAATTTGCTCATCAAAGCAAATCTGTGATATCTTCGTGAATTTGCTCATCAAAGTAAATCTGTGATATTTTTATTCTTTAGGAAAGGCTTTGACATGTTTGTTCCATTTTCATCAGAGAAATCTGTGAAATATTCATTATCAAATCACTTGATACCTTGTGTATCAAACCAAATCTGTGATATTTTTTTAATTTGCTCATTAAATAAAATCTGTGATATTTTTGTTAATTTGCTCATTAAAGCAAATCTGTGATATTTTTTGTTAATTTTGTTTATCATAGAAATTATATATATATATTTTAATTTTTTTTTATTTAGGATATGCTTTGACATGTTTGTCGCTTTTTCATTGAAGTAAATCAAATTCTGTTATATTATATTTATTTTTTATTATGCACTTGAAAGCAAGTCACTTGTTACTTTGCTTTAATCTTAAGGTAGTAGGGGATTTATTTTATTTTATTTTATTTGCTTATCATGTTTTCAAATATGAAAACAAGCCTGTTATTTGAATTTTAAAAATATGTTGTAAGTATTGTTCATTGAAACTAGTTAATGGTCTGATTTCAGTATACGTGTTCATAAATAAAGTATAGTAATGGAACAGCGTTTCGTGTTTTTCAATCACAGAGATAAAAATTTATGATAAACTAAATTTAAATTTATTTATTCACAATATTCTGAAATACGGGATTTAAAAAAATATTCACGTTTGTTTGTTTGTTTGAATTTTGTTTCACGTCCCTCTCGAGAACTTTTCACTCATATGGAGACGCCACCACTTGCTTGTTGAGAGATGCAAATGCTGTCCTATATACTCGGCACTAGGTCCATTGAGCAGGGAGAGATCTTTAAAACCATAGTCTTAGTAATAATAAAAGAGCATTTTACTGATCATCTTTCATAAATAAATTTATCGCCCGCATGGCGCAGTGGCAGTGGTTAGAGCTGCGAAGTAGGAGTTGATCCTTAGTCGCGGGTTCGAATCCCTCTGTGGGACGTGGAGACCGGTCTTTCGGATGAGAGATGCAAGTCAGATTACAAGGTCAGAGATCTTAAATGTCACACAAATAAAAGGCTCGTCTAAATGAACATATCTATATCAATAAATATACCTTTTGAATATGAAAACAATTAAAAGCATCAACCAAAAATTCAAGTTTTAATAACTTTTAAATTAAAAAAATTGAAATTTTTTTGTCAAAAGTTTTACAAATATATAAGGTTATGGAAAATAAGGGTCAAAATTAATACTAGTAATACTATTAATACTAGTAATACTGGGTACCCATTGGAGGGTTTTGCCACAAGAACACATGTGAAATGTAAAAACTCGATCATCTACTGTTCAAAATTTATGAACTCAATCTTAAAAGTGTCTTATTTAATTAAAACTAGACCAATCTCCATGGTGAAAGACTAAACGTCAGCTTCAGAATTGTTGGTTGCCAGAGAAATGTCTTGTCACAAGGAATATACATGTGAAATATGAAAAACATGGCCTCATACAATCAAACGTTATGGACAATATTAATTTTTTGTGGACAGCTAGACAGACGGACGGACAAGGCACTAACTATTTACCCCTAATCTTATATTATAGGGGCATAAAAACCTGATATCCATGCCAGAAAAATTATATCTAAAAGGAGTCGACTTGGGTACCAAAGGTTACTGAATTCCAATTTTAAAAAAAAAACTGCAAGAGGATTAGCATATTCAATGAATTCCACTAAAAATTATTTTTAGAAACTTTGGCAACACATCTTGTCAAAATCGAAAACAGATATTTAGAATTATGTATTTTAGTAAAGATTCCATATTTACCAATTTGAATTTAGATTTTAAAAACTGTAGAAAGAGTAGCAATACCAAAGAATTAAATGGAAATTTCGTTACTTAACTTTGAAATTTCTTCAAATGCATACCTTGGTCTAAATCTAAATTGCCTGTTTATCCTAATTTTATCATAATTAGTGTCAAGGTAAGGAAAATCTCACACATTTCTTTTAATTTGTTACAGAAGTTTTATAATTAAAAAAAATATTTTAAAATATATTTTTCATTTTTAAAAGTAGTATTTTGGCTGTCCAATAATTATTTAGGAAAAAAACTATTTCAATATGGCGTTAAATCTGCGGGAAAATATGATATAGTCGTATACCCGAATTAAAAATTCTTAAAATTTAAATACCCAGCCCAGCTCGCACATGTTGACTTTTCTATTGACAAAACAGCGTGACGTCAGGCGATACGCTTAACTTCCTAGATACAAATATTGGCATCGCCTGTTTCTAAACATGGCGGGTGAGAGGTGAAATACAAGAGGAGTGGATTGTTCCATTCGATTAGGTAGGGTCAATTACAATTAAATAATTAATTAATCTGTGTATCTTTCCGAGTATGCAAGGAAAAAGGCTATTACTGATTTTTCCACGTGCAGTAAAGGTAAGGATGTCGAGTTATAACTTGTATTGATCAGTTTTACCTTGCATGTTTTGTGTATATACCTGTTGAGCGCAGGTGAAAACTCGAAAAAGTGGCATTAATGACATTTTGTTTTAAAAAAAATATAATAAGACTGTATAATGTTGTCAAATTTTTGTATATTCTCTTCTAGCTCAGTATATAGTTGTAAAAGTTTTCTAAATTGGGCTATATTAAAACCTAGTCTGTATATCTATATACTTCAAGGTACGATGGAAATTTAAAGAGCGTTGAAAGTACATAGAAACATTGATTTGAAAGTCTTATTAAGGCCAACTTTTTAAGTATATGGAATCGCAAATAAGTACGCTGTATAATTATATAGTCTTTTATTTGCTATTCGAACAAAATCTATCGGAAGTTTCGTGTAACGATGTATAACCGCCGACTCTATATACTCATGAATCTTTAATGAAACCATTACCAACAATAAATTGTATAATTAATCACTGAGGTCTTATTTATTCGCTCAGACTAAACATGATTAGATTTCCAGATAATTTTAGGAGATTATATATTATCCTGTAAAATTACTAACACGCAATGGTATAGGTAACAGCAAATCCAAATCACAGGTAGACGTATTTGATGAACTTCTTATTGAGCATCAAAACGTTCCGTGTTTTTAATTTTCCTGGAGATTTATGCATAAACATTTTTTTGCTAGCTAAGAGACTCTTTGGATAATCCGTGATTTTTCCGCGTCTTTCAAGAGGAAAATTACATATAATTTGGATTTTCAACTTATAAAAAAATATTCACACACTTTATCAAGTGAAGCGTTTTTAAAAGCCGCGTTGGTAATAAACTCTAAGATAAACTATGAGAGGTTTAAAGGTCCTTCCTTTCTGACTATAAATGTCAATAGGTCTAGGTATAAAATAAATATCCAGAAGAATTTTCTTTTCAGGGGGATCTTGGCTTTGTTTAACGGAGATAATACTTTTTAACCCAAAGTAGACCAAAATTGCTATCATAACAAGCATCTAATCGACAATACGAGGGTTTTACAATGTTTGTTAATTTAGAGATATTGATAAAATTAATCTTAGGACCACTGTCTTTTTTCAAAAATCAAAACATTGAATTCATTAGCATTTTTTAATCAGGCTATCTAAGACATAGAATAATTGAAATGTAGCCTCTTTTGATAATTGTAAAAGAATATTGATAAACTTCAATGTTTATATTGCAAAAATCACTGTCTTTTTAAAAATAAAAAAAATTATGCATGCATGAGCATTTTAGTGTGCAGTCTATCTAATACACAAAATGCGATAAAATTAAAATTAGTCTCTTTTAATAATTATAAAAACATTCATATTTGTGTTACAAAAATCACTGTCTTTTTCAAAAATCAAAATTGTTGCATTTATAGGCATTTTAAATGTAAAGATCGAGTATTGAACATAAAGTATGCTTTGAAATTGAAATACAGCCACTTCCGTATAAACTACCTGTCTACGTGAAATAACATCGATATTCCTTTTCATAAAGCTAAATTCATGATCAATTTCGGATTCAAGGTTGGAGGAAATTCTGTTTGCTAACCTGTTCAAGAACAAATGCCAGATTATGTTGTATTAAGCGAAAATCATTGCTTTGATATTGATTGCATTCGATGCCCAAGGTAGAATATCTATGGTGAATCTCAATTAAAAAAAATTCTTGTGTCGAGACAATCGTGAAGCGAAATACTTTCTAACCATCTAGGTATAATTTAATGCAAACAATAAAAAAATTCTCTACCTATCAACAAACCTCTCTCTCCCTCTCTCTCTCCCTCTCTCTCTCCCTCTCTCTCTCTTACACACACCCATTTTCACAGTCCACACAGTCAAGTCAGCTTTAATTTAAGCGTACCTAGTTTTGAAGTTTTTTAAAAAAAATATATATTTGTCCTTTCAATAATTCTCATAAAAGGATTCTTCTATTCAAGTTAGATTGATTTACTGCGAATTTTGTATTAAACATAATGCATGTCTATTGCTGCAACACGCCAGTTCACCTATGCACTTCTAATATCTCAGTTTACCTGTACGTATACATTCCTTGATTGGTAAGATGGAAAGACATTTTTAAAACGCTGGAATCTTTAATTTCTTTGTATATTCAGCAAGTTTCAGATGGAATCTTGATATTAAATGGCATGGTGTTCCTAAAATATTCCAGCATTTTATATTCGACGAGTTTTAATAAAAAGGCAATAAAAGTTTCTAAAATTCATCCGAGTGACCTTACTTTATGAAAAAAGTTATTTAAACCCCGGGGTAAAGTCCTTGTTTTTCAATGTACAAGATGACAGTGATTTAATTTTCTGTTCTGAATGCCTGCAGTGATTGGATATTTTTGTATCGATTTTCCGATATAATGGGTAAAAATGTGTTGCTAGTGACAGTACCATTGACTTTATAGATACTAAGTGGATTGTGTCATCATTAGCATCTCGTATCTTCTATTTAACAGGCTGGGAACCAGGCAACAGTGCCCTGTTACAGCAAATAGAGAACCGAGATGAGCGCCAGGAGGAAAAAGAAGGACGAAAAGCCACCGCCCGCCACGGGCCCAGGGAGTAAAATCATCTCCCTCCCCGATCCCGTCAAGAAATACCTCAAAAAGCTCCCCGATGGCAAGAAAATCCATTTGAAATTCGGTAATGGAAATTGGAAATCGTTGCCAATTGAAATTTACAATAATGAAGAACTTAGTCAGCTGGCAGTGAAATTTACAGCGGAAAATAATCGTCTGAAGAGGCTTCCGAAAGGAATAGCAGCTCTGGATAATTTGGAATCTATTGACATTACCAACAACACGCTGTCAACTTTCCCAGGTTCTGTATCTAGAATGAAGAAGCTTGAAGTTTTGACAATTAAGAACAATGCAATTAAGAAATTGCCGCCAGCAATACACAAATGTACAGGATTACAGAAGCTGTATGCCTCAAATAACAAGATTCGTTCTCTTCCAAAAAACATTGGAAAGTCTTCCATTGCTTACATGGACTGTTCGTCAAACTTGATCCGATCCATCAAGAAAGGACTCTACGAAATGACCGCTGAGGTGGACCTATCGGACAATCGAATCACAGAGATGCCAACAGCAGCCGTCAAAAAACCCAACATACAAAAGCTTAATTTGGCGCAAAATGGCGTTACTTTGATTCCCGAGAATATCGACAAACTCTCGCGTCTCACGTGGTTAGACCTTTCGCATAACGCCGTACAGGAACTTCCGGCGCAGATAGGAGGAGTACGTTACCTCCATTACCTGAATCTTTCCCATAACCACATCAAAACCTTACCGGAGGAAATTTGCAATCTAGGATACGCACTTGACCACCTGGACCTCTCTCACAATGAAATACCGGTGTTACCAGACGGAATCAAGAGCCTTCGAAAGTTGACTTATCTTGACGTTTCCAAAAATGAAGTTGAGTACCTCCCCGAGAGCATAAGAGATCTTCCGTGCTTAACCACAATAGGAGTTTCTGAAAATCAACTTCGATCGATGAAATTTGCAGTGTATCTAAAACAGTTAGAACACCTGTATCTCTCGAAAAATTCGATCGAGGTTATACCAGATGAGATTGATCAAATGAAGTCGCTTATGACACTTGATCTTTCGTGGAACAAAATTAAAGAGGTACCTGGTAGCATAGGAAACGTTAAAAGTTTGAAGAGTTTAAACCTGTGCGGAAATAAGATCTCTACCATACCAGAAAGCCTAGGTCAAGGTCAAGTATTGACATTTTTAGATCTATCCCACAACCGCTTAACAGTGCTACCAACGGACCTTAGAAAATTACGAAATCTTGAAACTTTCCATGTTAGTCATAACGAAATTGCGCTCATGCCGAAATCCATCGACTTTTTGTATCAACTACGGTCTTTGGACGTTTCGCATAATGGTCTGAATGAGTTGAACCTCCCAAAAACTCTGACACATCTAAACCTGTCAGACAACCCTCTATCCATCAACCCAACCGACCTCAGGTCCGCCATTGTTGTCATGGGCGACAAAGATCACCTTAGAAACCTGACGTCACTTTCACTTTGCAATCTTGGTTTGGATGAGATTCCACCAAGCGTTTTCAACCTTAGATGCCTTAAACACCTCGATGTTTCAAACAATTCGTTAAAAACATTGACAAACAACGTTTGTAAAATGAGAGGTTTAGCATCCATCACTGCATGCCACAACGAAATAGCAGCTCTACCTGATAAAATAAGTGCGCTTAAAAAATTAGAGAAACTCCATGTTTCTCACAATAGCCTCACTGACTTTGCACCAAGCCTAGGACGCTTGGTGTCCTTGTGCGATCTTAATATGTCAAACAACAAAATCACACTTTTACCAGACAACTTTGGCGATCTAAACAAATTGATTTCTATGGATCTCTCCGAGAACGAGCTCCTAAATTTCCCAAAAGATCAAATTGATGTTCTGGCTTCTTTATTGCAGCTTAATATTTCCAAGAACCATATTGACCAAATGCCGATAGAATTTCCTTATCTTTATAGACTCAAAGTACTCAGGGCAGCAAGTAACGACCTCAAGTCGATCCCAAACGACATGGATAGAATGAAATCATTGGAAATTCTGGATCTCTCGGATAACATTATCGAATCCTTACCGGAAAAGATCTGCAAAATGCCGGAACTGAAAGAGATTAATGTTTCCGAGAACAAAATCACCAGAGGCTGGCCAAAAGCTTGGGAAAATCTTCGTCAAAAAATAAAAGTTGAAAATGCTGACCAAGAGAGTTTTAAGGAACGACAGCCGCGGGAACGACCGAGCGACAAAGTGGCAGAGACACAGGTCAGTCCAAAGTCAGCAAAACGCGGGAAAAAGAAAGTCTCGCCAATCGGAACGCCTCCCATCAAATCTCGCGAGAAGTCTGCTCCTGTGAAATAGACTGATCAGCCCAATACAATGGATTCTTCTGTGGAGAATGTATACATATTGGTCCTTATGAGGTGAACAATTAAAAACAGAAGGGCATGCATTTGTATTCTTTTTAATTTTAGCAGAATTTTCTTTATACACATGTACATTTAGAATTCACAGTAATCAAATCTTTACTAAAATGTCTTTATCTGCTCATTAATATTAATTTGTGATTTAGATATTTTTTCTAGTCATGTTTGTATTCAATTTTATTTTTTTTTCTAAATACTTCATAATTTTTCAGTTCTTTTTCTGTAGGTGCTATATACATGTATTATTTTCCAACTACAAAAAACGTAAACCTTTTTTCCCCATAATTTTAAATGTCAGTTAGTGTTTTCATAATTTCATTTTTAAATCACTTCACATTTAATTGGGATGTTTAATCATACATAGCCTATGTAAATCATCTTGCAGCTGATTGATTTTCCCACCCTGGATAGGCGTATCAGCACCGTATCTACCCCGGCTATAAATTCCAATTAAAGGCCCATCAACCCGCTCTGATATAAAAAACAGAACAATACATGCAGTTGATCAATTCCTTATTACACTCGACCTCTGGGACAGACGTATTTAGGTCTGATTTAAATATCCGTATTTTATTTTATCATCTTTGTTAAAAGGTTCTTGTTATCTAACAGAGTTTATCAAAGAGAGATCACAATGATTTAATGTATTAATGCGTCTAATGATATAACAATGCCTGGTGCTATTTCCAGAATGCCTTACTGACACTGTTAATGAATTGCTCACATCAACAGACTTGTTTTGCAAAAAATTGATATATTTTTAAATTCTAATGTATACTAGTATTTCGAGCATTCATTGTGCAAGTTTGACGTTTATCTGGTAGCCTGTTTCCCTTGCCTACCCATAATGCTCCACAATTGCGAAGCATTTCGGATAGGCCAGGCAAACAGACTAGTTTATCCCGATATTTAATTATTTGTGTGGATAACCCCACCCCACCCCCTTTCCGTGCTACCTTTCATGTTTACAATATAATTAAAGCTTTAAAGTTGTTGCATTTTCCCCATTTCAAGTGCATTTTTTTTCGTAATGTGTAGCATTTTAATTCTGTTCTTAGCATTTTTTAGCTAATTTTGTAATTACGTGTATACATCGTTGACATTTTATGAATATCTGTGATATTAGTATAGTTGTTAATATTGTACAAAGCATGGCAATAAATGACTTCTTAGTTTAATGTTTTATTTAATGAGAGAGAGAGAGAGGGAGGGAGAGAGATGGATTCCTTTAGATTTTAAGAGTATCCCTAGTCAATACCACATTTTTGTAAGTATAGGTTGTATATATAGTTGTGTTTCTAAATTACTACTATACAGAATTCAATGCAGATCATCCCTGGTAAAATTGAATGCTAGGCTATCTTTAAGTACGTGACATAAAATTTCACAAAAAATCTTTTGTGTATTAAACCTCTTGTGCTGTATGTTCTTAACTTCAAATTAACTGTCATCAATTGAACCTACTCAAACTTAGACATGTCTCTCTGTGAATGCAGCGAGACGGTTATAAAGAACGTTCTGTTTACTTATTGTAATCGAAGCAAACAATCGTAGGTAAACTTTGAACAAAAGTTATTTTAACAAAACCAGGCTTCAAGACGTCTTCAAATTTGATCTATTGGTTTTTCTTATACCATTATTTAAATGCAAGACATACAGTCGGTGAAAACTTTGATATACGACAACTCTAATATTATATTGTGTGGTGAGACACCAGCTAGCACCATATCGTCCTGTTACCAATTACCCTCAAAGACAAAAATTTCTCGGTAGAAATTCAAACTTAATATAATTTTTCGAAATTGGGCATGAAGCAGATTTCATTAGAATCAATCACTGGCTTTGCGGGTATATAGTCCAGAAAACTTGAGCTATTATAAACTATCCATCGTTCTATTCTATTCAGATTCAACCAATTTACATTAAAGTATAATATATATTGTTTCAAAGGACATGACGGAAAATTAAAAGATGTGAAGAAAATATAATTATCGGTATAAATAACTAGTTATTATTTATTTCTAATATTCTAATAATGATATAATAATGAAGGTAATAAATAATATACTTTCAAGTAATTTGATTGATTTGATTCGTCTTTAAAAACACTGAATTACCCGCTAAATAATGAAGCCACTCCCTCCAGCGTAGCAACGGTCAATCTTCTCCACCGAGGTATGTCTGGAAAACTTGATTCATTGTAAAACAATATACAATCAATCAACAAGAGGCCCGGGGGCCACATCGCTCACCTGAGGACTTGCTATGAAAAAACACAACCTTTGATCGACCACTTTGGCCCCACCTACCCCATGATTTTAACTATCTTGAATACACATCACCTGATGATGCTTCGGTGAAAAAGACCAATCATAGCTTTGCTGTTCTTGAGAAGAACATTTTTTCTATATATTCCTATGTAAAACTCTGATCGACCATAGTGGCCCAACTCCTCAGGGGTCATGATTTGAACAAAGTTGAATCTACACCACGTAAGGATGTTTCCATTTAAATATGATTTATCATCATGTGTCTTTTCTGTTTTTGAGAAGAAGATTTTTAAAGATTTTCTAAATTCATTCGTATGTAAAACTTTGATAGTCCATTGCGGCCCCGCCCTACCCCCGGGGGGTCATGATTTGAACAAATTTGAATCTACAACACCTACATATGCCTCCATATTAATATCACTTATCATGGCTTTTCTGCTCTTGAGATGAACATTTTTGAAGATTTTTCATATATATTCCTAATATGTAAAAATGATCGACCATTGTGACCAAACCCTACCCCAGAGTAGAATCTACACCACCTGAGGATGCTCTCACATAAATACTGTAAACGTATTACATTTGGCTGTGTATTCTTTTTAGCGCCTTTGTCGGAAAGAAGCATCCGCTAATTCAAGTACAACGCTGAACGTCTTGCGCATATATTCATAAATAACAAAATTTAGAAATCAAATTTACACTGACTTGTTCAATTCCCAATTCTCAATTTCCGCCAAATATCGTACACGCTAAATATAATACATTTACAATATGACCAATCAAGGCTTTACTGTTCTTGAGAAGAGAAAGACTTTTTGAAAATTTTCCTATATAGTCCTATGTAAAATTTGATCGACCATTGTGGCCCCACCCTGCCTCGGGGGTCATAATTTGAACAAATTCGAATCTATACCACCTGCTTTCACATAAATATGACCAATCATGATTTTGCTGTTCTTGAGAAGAACATTTTATTTACATATTTTTATGTAAAACTCGATCGTTGTGGCTCAACCCTCACTCCAGGGGTCATGATTTGAGCAAACTTGAATCTACACCACGTGAGGATGCTTCTATATAAATAAGATCAATCAATTTCTTTGCTGTTCTTGAGGAAGAAGATTTTTAAATATAATCCTTATACATTCTTTTGTAAAACTTTCACAGTCCATTGTGGCCCCACCCTACCCCAAGGGGTCAGGATTTGAACAAACTTGAATCTACACTAAATGAGGATGCTTCCACATGAATTTCATCTTTCTTGTCCCACTGGTTCTCGAGAAGAAGATTTTTGTTTTAAAAAATATGCCATTAATGTTTCAATAATACATAATTACAGTATCTCTCCTTGGATGAGTGTGTGGCCCTTCATTCAAAGAAACTTGAATCCCCTTCACCCAAGAATACTTTGTGGCAAGTTTGGTTAAAATTGACCCAGAGGTTCTTGAGAAAAAGATGAAAATGTGAAAAGGCTTATCTTTAACGTCTTTTGCTTTTGATGAGTGATTGGTGGATGCTTAACTTAGTCAAAAATTCTTTTTGAAGATATAACAATGTTGATATAGGAAGCATGACGGCTTAAAAATTCTTTAGTTTTTACTGCAAAACCTTTCATAATTTTAGGGGAACTTAAATAACTTGTATATTAATGGGCTTTACATGAATAAGGGTGATGGAGTATTTTCCATACAACCAGTATCTCGCTGTATCCGAGAATTATATAATGAATATGTACACATCAACAAAATAATTGCTTATTAGTTTGTATGTCATTTGTCAAGCATCAAAATATGAACATTGCATTACTCCATCAAGTGCAAATTTAGGAACACAAGACGTTAATGATACCCTTATAACGATACACAAGACTGTGCTCTATGTATGAAAAATTTCTAAAACGAGGTAAGTTATTGACAAACAAGGGTATGAAACAAAAATATCAACAGTCTCGTTTCAATTCATCATAAAGTAAGTCCTATGGTTGATGCAATGACCTTGTCAGCAAATGCAATCTAATCAATAAGACAAACGCTGACTGACGTTTCTCATACTTATCGTTACCTGGGTCATCATTTACATACTGAATTGTAGATGGATCTTTCCATTATTTTCCATAGACAAGGAACACTCGGCGGATGTAAATGGTCAGCAGGGGATGCTCATTCCCCCATGGCATCTGATTCTACCTCTGATGTTTTAGACTGCTCCTTATTTGTATTGTTTGAAGGAACTTTTGAGCTTGAATTCTTTCCGATATTCCTATATATTTCACTTGTCTTTCATTTTTTGATATATCAAGCACAATTTTATTTTTGACACAGTGTACATCATAGTCATGTAATAGCACACTACTTCGTAAAATTATATTTTACAAAGATACATACTAGCAGAATATGTCAAATGCTCTGAAAGGGGAAAGACTCATACAAATAAACAAAAAGTATTTAATGAACTGTCTCTGATAGAGGTAGAAAAAAATTCATATATAACTTGAAAAGGACACTTATAAGTACAATTTTTCTATTTAAAGATTAATACAAATATAATAAAACAACTTTTTATATATATATATATATATATATATATATATATATATATATATATATATATATATATATATATATATATATTGACACATTGATGAATTCAATGCAAAGGAAAAGTAAGGCTCTGAAGATGCATGAAGATGCATGGGAGAGACATTGAAGATAATGAGAGTTTTCGATTTTCACTTTTGTGGGGTATCGTCATATGAGCTTCAATAACTCATTAATTATTAGACAAAATCAAATGGGATTTTGGTTCTATCCTTTTGAGATGATTTTAAAAGTTAGATAGGAATACCGAAAAAAATTAAAAGACAAATAAATTTTTTCACCTCAAAAGTTATCCCTGTCTTTCTTTTTCCTTTCAGTATACTTAATATGCTTCGAAGTCTGCAATTACCCCCTGGGTATATGACAAACTTTCATATTCTTCCATCAGATGTTGTTTTGGTGACAAATATTGATCATTATCGACGGCAGTCCTTTAAAGTATTACATATAAGTTATCGTTCTTTGTGCTATTATTACAAGTATAAAGCTATAAGATGCATAGAATTCCTTAATGTAAAATAATATCACAAAAGAATATTTATTGCTCGAGAAAATTACAGAATGAAAAAATAAAACATACTACAACAAAACTAATGTGAAAAGATTTTTTTTAAAAGTAGTGTTTCATCTATCTGTGAACAGAATCATACTTGTAAATTAATGATTAATCAAGAATTCTACTCTGAACATCTTGTATTCTATAACATGTTGCCTCCTGTATATTATGAGTTGGTACTTGCTTAAGAGAGATCTGATAAGACAAAAGTGCCTCCTTATGGTTCCCACAAATCTGTTGACAGATGCCCAGAATCTGCTAGGATATATCTCTAAACATTTTAGGAATATAACGTCCCTTGTCTGAATGAAGTAAGTTAAACAGTTCATACAACGCTTCTTCTTGTTTATATGAGTCCCCCCGATGGCATAACACCAACAGCATGAGTGTCAAGACATAAGGGGGTACAGAAAAATAATCATCATTTGACTTACTGAATTCTAATGCTAATTCTTTTATCATAATCCAATGTAAACAAATGTCAACAGAAACAGCTCTCCTCATTTTCTCACTCAGTGGCAATCCTCCCATCTGCTCACAATAACTTTTTTCATCACCCTTACGGCAATTTATCATATAAGGCTTTATAATCATTTCTTTTATCTTCTTGAGATATTTAATTGCATCTATATTTTTACCAACTGAGTGTAAAAGTAAAACAAAATAAATCCAATCAGAAAAAAATCCCAATCCTGTGCTAATCTTCATCATATTCAAACAAGCATAAATAATTCTCAATCTACTTTTGTTGTTAA